GGTGGTGGAGGGTGGGTGTTGTTTCTTTGTTTTGTGTTTTTCTTCTGTTTCACTTTATGCCCATTGTCTCTCATCCTTCTAACATGGACTACTGTGAAGAACCCTTTACCTAAGTGAGAAATACTCTTACAAATCTAAATACATATATATATATATATGCACATTTAATAATTCAGCTAAAAATACTATGATATACTAAGTCTATATCCCTCTCTAATCCTAGTCCAATGGCCTAAACTCTACATATGGTGAACATATTTAACCATAGGTTAGTAACAGAGGAGCACATATGTAAACCTTTGCAATATCAGCTCCTAAAATTGAAACTGTTAAGCACTCAGTAGCAAGTCATAATGAACTAATCGCCACTTGGAAATTCTGCCTTTTAAGCTTACGCAATATTGTTATAACTGAAGACTATCTTGCAAAATTTTTTAAAAATTCAGTATTAAATACTGGGTGACTATGATTCACAGAATCACAGAATTCTTCAGTATGTAGCAAATAGAATGGACATCACAAATCACAATGCACTGAATACGTCAAGCTGTCTCCTTCAGCCCCTGCGCAGTTCAAAGGACTCCATTACTAGAAGACTTTGAGAAGTGGCAATGTAATCGCTACTGATGACCACATATTAAAAAGCATCTTCTGAAGAGTAGCTGGTTTCCTTCCTAGTTGCTCCTCAAATACATGACTTACAGATGGTAAAAATGGGGAATTATCAGCTAATTCCAGCCAAGCAGAAGCCATACTTCTAACTTGGCATGGAAGCATTGAATCGCACAGGCCAATTGGGAAACTAGTACAAAACACTACTATTCAAGTGTACATGCACTTGTCATAGCTTTTTCTAAGAGAAGGGGAGAGATATATAGTCCATCAACATACACTGCTTATTGTATTTTACAGTTATTTTCAAAAGCATGCCAGAATGCATGAAAATTTAAGCACCAGATATAAAATTTCAAAATGTTACGATCCCTTGAAAACAATGAGTTATAGTAGAGAAAGCAATTACTTTTTAACCTCCTGTATTCCAAATCAGAGACTTAAATCTCAGACAAAAACTCTGTACTTCACCTCAGTCATTATGTTCTAATTATATTTCACAAACACATAGAAAGAATGAAATTACTATTTTTGGCTATTTTAATGATTTTCATAACAAAACAACAAACTGTGACCACCTACCTAAAATAATATGAAGAGCTGATGTTACTGGATCAGAAATGCCAACAGTTGAATAGCATATGCAATCTGTTGATCCTGAAAAATAAATAATTAAAAAAGATATTCATTCCTATCTTTTCAAAACAAGTACTATTGGCACGGTCCTCCAAACAAAACCATTATGTTCCTTTGGCCTGCCCCTTTCTATTTTATGCAACAAAGTAAATATAAGTATACAAATACTATGATTTAAGTCTTAACTTTTCTTTTTCCCCCAATGAGTAGGATTTATTTCTCTCCATACAGAGTACAAAGATTTTCACAATATAAGCAATAAATATATAGCAGTTAATGAAGCAAAGTAAGTTAATTCACATGAAAAATTTCAGGATTACATTAAAGCTTTTATATCAATTAAGGATGGAAGGGAAGGAAGGCCTATACTGATTCTCCTTTGCTTAAGATTTCTTACTCATTGAAATCTCATCAGAAGTTGGCCAGTCTCCTGGTTTTTTGGAGGAGTGATCTGAATTCCAGAATGTCAACATCCCCTCCTCCTTCAGCTGCATGTTAAACTGGAAACTCCTGCTTAGTTCTGTTACTTGAAAATTAGTAAATACTTGCTTTCAGGAATTAGTTTATAGATAGGGGAGCAAAGTGAATAGATATATGCCTTTAAAGTCTTGAACAAAATACCTACAAGAAGAAAGTGGGGGGAACTTTAGGTTTCACCTATATTCTTTGTTACTACCTACCTTCAGGCCACTCCTCACTCAGTACATCCACTCAGTATTTTAGGTGCTGTTTAGAGACAGCCAATTCAATTCTTCCTCATCCCTATAAAAAACAATCTAGGAGCCTAATGTAGGGTTCTGATTCCTACTCTGCAGCTGGGACTTGAAAGTCAGGGCCAAATGTACTGAAGCATTTTTGCTGCACCACCTAACTCAAAATGTATCTTGTAGTTTCTCCCATCCCTTCCCTGAAACTGAATTCCTTTAAAGTCAAGGCTGGATATCTGAAAACAAAAACTTATTTTGTTCACATACACGCTCTCAGATTTGCTCGATACTCCAGATGTAGAGTAGCTCGGATACAGAGTACTGCATTTCTGAGGCCTAAGCAAAATGAAATAGAAAACTAAAATGGAGGAATAAGCAATCACTATTTAAAAGCCCCTTTTGGTTCTTTCTAACTTTGAAAACAGTCAGGGCACATACAGTTATCAACAGGAGCAAAGAAAATCCCTTCCCCTCCAACTCACTTTTTAAGGAAATGGACACCACTTCCCCTACCAGTGAAGGGCATGAGCGAAACTTCTATCAAGTAAAATACTACGCAGAAGCGTGTCATAGTGAACAAGGAGCAGCTCCAGGAGCCAGTTAAAGAGAATATAAGTATAACAGAACTGGAGAACAAAAGAAACAGTGTGACTAAAGAGATCTCTATCTACAAGGTTGAGGTTCAAGACAGTACATGTGTACCATTACGAGTATATGCCCTTGCACAGGAAATGGGACTCCAATTTCTCTCAGTACTGTAACAAACAAAGTACACAGATGATGTTATCATGCCACATTTGGAGTTTTATAGCAGAAAATATTAAATAGAGTCCAGATACTGAATCTATGCTTTACTGGAAATTTCTTCAGTTTCATTTTGCCTCATACACTTATGAATTTCAGTTAGGGAGAAAAGGAAATTCTCATTACTTTTTAAAAGAAACAAAAAAATAGCCACTAAAAACAGCCACTACAAGATCTGACCTGAACTTTTACTGCTGAATGCACAAGCTTAACATTTCATCCAACCTTTTTCATTTCTTCAAGATCGGTTTGCATTCGGCTGCTAGAATTACCTTAGTCACATTTGTCTTGATGTAAACAGAGCTTCCAAGTGGTCTTACACTATAGGTGAGAGGAGATGAGGAGAATTCATGCAAGCCACATTTTAACATCAGAGGCTTATCTCCCTATACTCTTCCATAGTCAATTAAAATATAATGTACCTGTTGGGCAATTTTATAGAATTTATTTTCATTTTTATTCATTAACTAGCAAGAGCGGGCTAAAATTAGATCTGAAGTCTGAAATTAATTCTGAGATTCTAAAATGGCAGGCTGGAGAAGACACCAGCAGTGTTTACCAACTGCCAAATGGTCCCTCTTTCTCAGACATGCCAGTGGAGTACCAACTAGAAACAGTAAGATACCAGTTTTTTTTTCTCTCTCAGAACCAGCAGTATGGAGCAACAAAATGGGTACCATTCCAAGGGAATATAACTGGTCAAAACACTACACCAAGCACAACCCTAATGGTACTAGTTTAAAGGTCACAAAAATGTTCATGGCTAAGGATTTGACTCTCTCTGAATACTTCATAACCAAACAGCAATTCTAGACTGTTATGCAGGTCTTGAATAGATTTGGAATCTACTACTGCTGAAGTAGTGCTCTGAGTAGATGAACATGCAAACCCCACTAAAATCTGGCTTATTTCATCAGTATAAATTTGATATAGAAAGCAGGATCAGAATGTAAATACAACTTGACTAATATCCCTTGATTAATAGTTTAGGATTGCCAGAGTACTCAGTTTGCGCAAGAAGCTTTCATAGAGCACAGCTCTTGAGTAATGTTAGGTGGTGGATGTTGTTTGTGCAGATGCTGTGTTGTTTGGATGTTGTTAAACCAACAGAATAATTATATACATACTCGGCCAGATTTTCTTTGGGGATTTTTAAGGGCAACAGCCCAACTGAGTGAAGGAAAATAAGAGGTTTTTATGGGTTGTACAGAACTACATACAAATGTGAAGAAAGCAGTTGAACCGCTTGTTAACTGAGCCCTAATTCATTAAAAATTAAAGAGCTTCAGTGTGGAAACTAATTTTTTCATTGGTGTGCTAGAAGATAATAAAATCACCATGCAAAGGAATGATTACTTTTCAGGTTACGACACCTAGAAGTAGCTACATGTGTATATGGAACAGCTTCCATTCTGGTCAAGATCTTAACAGGAATGCTGATGGCAGTTCGAGCTTGATTCGAGGTACTCACACACATTTGAAGGGCCTTAGGAAACAAGGCATCTGCACAAGACAGGCAGATACAACACAAGATCTACAGGCTCTGTTGACTGTATTGACCAGATACCTTCTGGCTATAACATGAGATTAGAAGCCCACCTCACCTGCAGACACCTAAATGTAAACATGAAAATTTGAGTATCAATTTCAAACTGAAACTCATCCTAAGGACAGTAACTCCATTACCTAAAATGACACCAGCCACCAGTGTTCAATTGCTACAGATTACTCTGCTTGGCTTCCAACTGCTACTCTAGTACAACAGTTGGCTTGCATAGGGCTAGTACATTTCAACGATGGCGGCACCATACCACCATACATAGATAGGTGAATACCAAACTAAATGTCTGAAATCTCCCAGCTAAAGAAAGCTCTCATCCTAGATATTCTGATATTAAGAGCCTACTGAAAACATGAAGTGTGTAAGTATAACTACTCTGAATCTTTACCATACATCATGTACACTAGAGCCCTGTTTCATTACCCATTTTCCCCAAAGTCTGTTTGTTATTAGGAGGTATCATACAGCCATGTAGTTGTCATATAGGTAAATTCTTCTGTTTTTTTCCTCCTCAAATTTAAACATTGTAATTGTAAAAAATAAATTTAATGATTTAGAAATTATCAAGGAAATCCTTTATTTTCATTAATCACAAGGAAAAATGATTGATATGTATTTAAAATATTAAAGAGTATGTACTCCCCATAAAACACTATTGCTAAAGTAAGATCAAAGAAACCAAAGTGATGAACTGCACTACATGGGATACAGTACAGCTAAATCAGCAGATTTTCCCCTTTGCATGCAAATATTGATGGATATTTGTGAGCAGACAAGTCATGGAGACAGGTGCTCAAATACCACCTCACAAGCTTTAAATTGGTCATAAAACCACCAAAGTTTTATGAAAAAACAGATGATTTACTGGTTGTCTGGAAAAGCTCGTGCCATTGATTCTGTGGACACACACAAATCAAAGCGCTAGAATTAATCATGTGAAAAGTGACCAGATTACTAACTTACAACCTAAGTTTTCTTAAACCAAACCACAAGCATGCTGCAGGATATAACTATTAATTTTTTGTGCTTTTATTAATGGAAAACTAAACAAATTCCAAAGAACTGGAAGTACTACACTAAGCAGATGACAGAAGCAACAGTCGGCTAGATATTGATCCTACAGAAAATTTGAATTTAATAAAGAAACAGAAATACTCTTAGTGCTCATGAACCGCGTTTCCTGTGAGATACTCTTGATAGGGGCAGGTGCTCCCACAGGGCACACAGAATTCTCAGAAACATACTAGGCATGGTAATAGGATTTTGTACTGCACACAGGTAGAATAACAACTTCAGTGGAGGTTCTGTATGTTTCTAGCATTTTTGTGAAGTCACAATCCATACAGTCACCTCATAAATGAAGTGTCAGGTGAGTCACGCTAATGACAAAGTAACTGTATACTCTTGATGAGGCAGCAATTAGTACGTTGAAAAATCTAAATAGTGACTTTTCTGGGAGGTAATTTTCAAATGACAAGGATCTGACACATTCAAAAGCAAGGGAAGAAGCTACTGTTACAGGGAGAGATGAAGGGCCTGGGCATACAGTCATGTTCCTACTCCAAGTTTTACACACTTTCCTTTCTACACCCAGAAAACAAGAAAACAAGTTTAATATCTGCAGACTGATTTAAAAAGGAACAGTTCAGAAGGACCTTGGTCTGGGTTTTTTTGGTAGATAATTACTTCAGCAAAAGTTCAGTACTACAGTACAACAGAAACGGATTAACACAATAATGGCAAAATAAGGACATGAAATTAACATAATAGGGAGAAGAAACCTTGACTTAATTGTCTTCATAGCAGTCCCACCATATTAAATACAGTATTTAGCTCTAAGATTGTAATTTCCAGAATAACATTTAAAATGCTGAAGGAAGAACACAAAATATTGCACTTTAGATTTCAAAATGAATATATTGAACCCTGAAATAAGATACTAACTAAACTGCAAACATCATTAAATATTACAAATGTCATAACAGAGAAGGCTTTGGACACATCACTTGGAGTCATTTAAAAAAAAAGAATTAGATAGCTTTTTATGCTATACTATAATGCATTTTTGAAAAGAAATTTTACAGCCTAGATGACAGTAGTATAAGAGTCCAGTCACACGTCATGATTTTACTTGCATCTTGTTTTTAAGTTTGTGAATAAATCCTCCATCATTTTTCTATACTACCTTCACATAAGAACTCTGTATTGTCTTGAGCATTCTTAACTTCTACAGCTACACATCAACATGCTGATCATAATCACAGTGCATGCTTCTGTCCTAGACATTACAGACTTCATACCCTGACCACAACATAAGTAAAAGAGATCTGGATACACTAGAAGCCTAAATCACTATAGCAATTAACCTTTTGTACCTGCACTTTACTCAGGCTTCCCTAATGTTTGGAAGATTTTTACCCTATCCCCAGGGTAGGCTGGCAGACTTGATTTTTGAAAGAATGAATGTATTAATATTATGCTACAGCACAGCATGAAGTAGGATTTTTTTTCTACCTACTGAGATCAGAAGAGTATTTAATCTAATCCATTATCTTTCACTAAAGAGTCCTCCAATCACAGCTGACAGCTTTGTCCTCCTGTTCTATGCCAGGTTTAGTAAGAAGAACAAACTACTCTGGCTACAGAGGATACAATTTTAATACTAAAACATGTAGATGAAAACTCGGTGTCACATGTCCTAAGAGAAACAAGTCTCTGTTTTTAAGTTCTATGGAGGCACACTACCACTCTGAATGCAGTAAGAAACCATGGCTGAATGTGCTTTTAAGGCTGGATAGCACAAGGAGGAAGTAATAACTAAATAGAAGTTTTCAAGTTTTCATAGGTGCATTGACTTGTAGTTATCACATTACAGTACAGAACTCTGTCAGGTTGCTACAGCCTCCAAGTACTCTTAACAGCAAATCTGCTTACAACAGCAATCAGTTAATTTACACTGGCAGATTTGAAGAAGGGCTGTAGCTAAGAAATTCAGACGTTAAAACTGCCATTTGAGCAGTCTGAGTTATTGAGTTATGAGTTATTTCATTAGAATGTACCATGAAGTATAAGTGATATTTTTTAACCAGATAACACACTAAGAAAAGAGACTGTCTAGAAACAGACACACATGTTCAAAAGAAGGCATCAAGCAGGGACTTGCTCCAGAATGTGGGAATCATGATTTACAAGCAGCATTCAACATTAAAAAAAAGAGCATGGTAAGTTGTGGTTTGTGGTTGTGATTAAACAGTGTCTGTATTCAAACTAACACTCAATTCAGCAGATTTAATCTTTGCTCAGAAACTGTCAATTTAATTATACAAGGGTTTGAAACTACAAATGAAATACTTAATACTAAAATATTCTCATCTGAGCATTTTTGAGTAATTAGTTTTACTTCATAGGCAGAATCCCATTGTTAAGTTTGTTATACAAACTGATTTTAATACAAAGCTGTAACAAGTAAAATCAGAATATACTTAAATATAGTAATTCTGTTATACAGAACCCTTCATGTGCCAGCTAATAAGGAAAATGAAAAACTGTAAGGGAATATTGCAACTTTTAGGTATCTAACCCTTATTGTACTGCAAGCAGAAAGGGTTAAGCTTCTTCAAAGCAACAATTCAGACCATTTGGGTTTAGATACATTCTTCACAAAGACATAACTAGTATAAAATTAGTCACCTAAAGCCTGAGAGTACAAATACACCATTTTACTTGGTGTATTTTTATAATCTGTGCTAAATGTTATCATAAAGTCTGTGTTTTAGTTCTAGTCTGAAGTTCATGTTTACTTCATATCCCACTTCTTTAATTCAAATCTCAAACATCTGACAAGAAAAAGACAACAGCATAGAAAAGACAATGAATTATCCATCTGTCTTTCCACAGAGTCCTCAAAATTCCAGATGCTATTAAAGAGTTGGAACACTGAACCCAGTCCTGGAAGAGGCACCTGGGGACCAACTAGGCAGAGTGAGGTAACACCTGGGATGCTAGATTTAACAGCAAGATTGATCCAAAGAGTGCCTCTAAAAATGGGCAGAAACCATAACTCAGTCTGGAACCTGAGAACTGTTCCTCAGCTGTATTTCCCTTATGCTTTCTGTGATGACAAATGAAGAGAGGGAAAAAAAAAAAATAAAATTAGCATTTGTTTGGAGTTTGCCAGACCAGTGGGATGTTCTCATAACAATTCTAACTAAATTTGTGGAACATTTGGAACTGGAAAAATATTTATCAGCTAAGTCTCTGTTCAGTACGTTTCACTCATTAATGTGTTCAGATGGGCAAAGGTATTTCTGTCAACATCTTATTTTGTACTAACATACAATAAGCCACCAAAAAAAAGTAATTAAATTCTAAAGTTGCGCATTAAGATTTTACTTCCTCTACAAAGTACCCTTCCCAAATAAAATTGCATGGGATCAATAATTATACCGGGACACAAACAGCTTTAGCTAGGTGTCTTTATGGAATAGCACTGCTCGTATCTTACACTTAGGCCTCAATTTAAGAAGTTATGAATAAGAAGAAATTTCAAGAATAAATTAATAAAGTAAACTGAAAGTTAACCCTTTCTTACCAGCAGGAATTATGCCAATCCTTATATTGCACTGGACTAACGGTGCTTTGGGATTATTTTGGTCTATGCCAGAGTCCTTCTGCATTCTTCCAATGAGACCATGCATCACTTCACTGAACATGCCGTCCCCACCAACACAAACAACACTGCCAGGAAACACAAATTAGAATGCACACTAACAGTCAATAAACAACACAGCAAGTGTTCTACTTTGGGCATGCACTGGGCACATCAGAAATAGTTGTTTTATTCTCTGCCTCCATTTTTGCAGAATATAGTAGCCCACAGTCAACTTGGCAATTAACAAAAAGCAGAAAAAAAATTCAAGCTACACAACTGTAAATGCACCTAGACATGTCTGCACTGTTAGAAAGAAAATGTTGGAATGCAGCCTAAAAAAAAAAAAACTTTTATAATCTATTGCTGTGTGCAGACAGACAAACATCAGTGGAAATTCACTATACAAGGAAAACATTGAACAGGACTGTACATACAGCTTTCTAAGGAAACAAAATGGAAATAAGGTACCTTTACTAAAAAGGGAAAAGTCATTATTTGTGGCTTCAGGCAGAAGTATATTTTACACTATTAATTCAATAGGGATATACATTATATGAAAGTCAAACAGAGAAGTGCAAGCTTGCGTACTCTTTCAACATGCTGAGAGCCCACCAAACACAGAAGTCGTACATCTACATAACCACCCATAATGAAACAGAGTTCTAAATGTTACCAGATGCAAAACTTGGTTTTGCAAAATTAACTCAGGTCAGAGCTGGTGCAGCAACTACACAGATCCTCAATATGCTAAAGCTCAGCAGAGAGTCCACAGCTAAGCAAGTACTAGGAGGTAAAGACTATTTTACAGCAGTATACATTACACACACAATAATCAAATGCACAGCCTGAATTCTAAAAGCATAAACATTCTTTAACTGAAAACCTAATTCAAAGTCACTTTAAAAGAACATATGACAAATCCAAATGTAGTCCCCAGCATATATGTTTAGGAATGTTTACTGTTATCTGTAGCAATAATTTCCAATGCATAAACTAATACTTACTCTTCCACATAGCCAGCAACAGATACTGCATTTAGGGCTTACTTCTCTAATAGACTAGCATTTCACCTTTTAGACAGATAGTAAAAGTCAACTACATATGCTAAAGGACTTCAGGAGAAGCAAGTCCACAAGACAGATGAATTTTAAAAGAACTATGGTCCCTTCTAATCTCAACCATTCTGTGAACTAACTCAAGAACTAAGGAAAAAAACAACTGAAGCAGTTTTACAAAGGCTTGTGCAACAGGCACATGGATAAGAAAGCGTAGGGATTCATACATGTCAGACATATCCTAAACATGGTCATTTCCTGAACAGTATCATTGCATGCTCTAGGTGTTCTGTACAATGATGTAAAATAAATTGCTATATTGTAACTAAATTATTTTAAGTAACTGTCTTTGAAGAGAAGCTGTTCTATTAGTACACTCACCATAAGAAATTCTCATAAAGGGAAATGGGAAGAACAAACAGGAAACACAAGAGGTTTAAATAAGTTGTCTCAAGTAAATACACTTGGAAAGTAGTGAAGTGGTTATCTTTAAGAATCCTGTTCCAAAATTACAGGCATGGCTTTTCCAAATAGGGAATGTGGAGATTAAATGAAGAATCTCATCACTGAATTAAGGGAAAGACATTTATCAGAACCAATCTAAGAGGACAGGTGAATAACAATTAGATGTAGGAATCCAAAGAAGCTTTTCCTTTATGTGAGAAGTGTCAGTCAAAACTTGAAGAAACACACACATTTATGTGGTGCAACCATTTTTTTAAATCTTCCACATAACCATGTGATCTGAAATTTAAAAAGCGGTATTAATACAATAACTCTTTCCTAACATCACTGTTTACCACAAAACCAGAATTGTACATGATGGACAAAAATCAGGCTTGGAAAGACAGGCTGCAGTTTGGATGCTAACTGTCACTAAGGCCCAGACTGGGAATAGAAGAATCATGACATTCTAAAAGGATGCAGGTCTCTGGCCAGGCTCAGTCATGTTAAGGAGCAAAAAGCAAAAAAAATCACCAAAGGAAAAAAAAAATATATATATTCTACAATAAGAGACTGTTTGAATCTGCCAAAAACACTTCAGGTACCACTACAATTGGTCACTGCCACTTTTTGTAAAAAATAATTTGCTAGGAGTGGACAAGGGCTCACTTGCTTCCCTTTTCTGCTCTGTATTAGAATTTCACCAACCATCAGTATTAGCTATTCCAAATCACTTAGGTCCAATGAGAATGAAAAGCATAACTAACTAGGTTTTTCTAGGATCCCAGTTTCCCTCCCTTGCACTTCTGCAAAATTGAGAAAAATGACAGTATAGTCTAAATTGCTTATTTAAAGTCAACTCATTTTAAAGCAGTCGAAATCTAGGAACTCAGTCTGTGAAGGTAGTTTCTTACCACCACAATTCGTCAACGACATACCCTCACTTGATTTATATAACATATATAGATCTGCTCCCCTAGCAAAAGTACTCTGAAAAGACAGAAAGTGCTTTATTTTTGCAGCTTACCAGTTTAAATGTACCTGTCAACAAGCACAAGATACTGATTTAAAATACTGTAGTTATGAGAGTTTATCTGCATAGGTTCTGCATACATTTTCATGATTTTCAAGTCACATAACTTGTTTCATGTCATGAAACATAAACTGGAATGAGTAGTTTATTTATTAAAATATTCTGCTTCTACAGCAGCTTTAATAATAGAATGCAACTTCACCATTCGGTTAGGTCTTCTTTTAAGTAAGTAATTCCACAACAGAAGAAACATAAGTAAAGCCAAAAGATGTAGCCATTATTTGAACAGTCCTACATAGCAAGAGGAACTATCTGAAATGTTTGCAAACATTTCATGGCTTTTACACACAGGCTGAATGCTACTGATGCAGTGTTCTGGACTCATGGTATATGTCAAGATCACCTATATCACAGAATGTTTAAGGGTAGCTTTCAAGCCATCACAGAATGCTCAACTTCTGGACAAGCAGAATTAATCCTACATTTACCTTTAGAACACAAAACTCATGCAAACGTTGTTATACTACACTTGAATATATTGTGTGTTAAAGAGGCTTACTGAAAAAGTTTAGTTTTCCTTTGATACTCCTAAATGTGGATCTCCTATGGAAAGGATTATGCCCCACAACTTTCAGCTGTTGCACGAACACATCAACAGTGAAAGCTACTACTTTAAATTAGAGACAAGAATAGACAGATTACAGAATATATCAGCTAGAAAAGAAAAAAAGGCAAGCGAAGTTACTTACCCATCATATTTATTAATATTAACTTCAAATAAATTGTCCTTAGCATGGTTAGCATGTTCGGTTACTATAAAGAATTAAAAACATTTAAAAAATTATATATATTTTATAAAATGGTATATAATACACAATTATAAAAATGTTATTATTAATTCATTAATTGCCACGATTCTATTACCAAGGTGACCATAAAACAGCCTGCCCCTAAAATGTGTTTCAAAAGACTTTATGCCAAGGGAAGAACTGAAAGAGACATGCACTGCAGTATACACGGGAAAATATTTCACTAAAAAAAATGTGCAAATGTACAATTGGTTTTAACAGTAAAACTGAAAAAGAGAAGAAAGACAGTGTCTTATAAATGAAGAGCTCAAATAGCTCAGAAGTACCAGAAGTTTCAGTTTAGTCAGCAACAAATTGATACAAGGTCGTCATTTATCTGGCTATCTATGCTTTAATTAGAAAACACTCCCCCTCTACTACCTAGTTTTCTTTCCTCAGTAAGAAAAGGTAAGTAACAGAAAGAACTTAGGCTACTCAGAAATCTTTTAAGAGTTCATATTGCGTTTATTAAATTAAAATCTTCATTACTCACCCACAACATCAGTGGATATAGAAGCCAGACTGAAGAGTGGAGCAACTTTCTGTTCATAAATCCTCTTCCCTTGTCGTTTTCCTCCACATGGATTAATATACACAAGCAACTGCTTTGGTCTAGACTCTACAGTAAGGAAAAATATTATAACACATTGCTTTTGTACACATAACAAATTCAACAAGCTACACAAAAACAAGCCTGTAAACATCAGGACAGCATACAAGCTCTTTATTAACTCTTATTACTCTATGCCTCTTTATCAAAAAGCTATAAAACCCCGCTTCATCTATCCTTTTTATTATACTGAGGATACTGACAGTATTGAATTGGTAATAAGACAGCAGGTGAAATTCAGAATCACTTCATCTGACTCCACGTCTCACATTCCTATGCATGTTATTCTTGCAGTACTTTCCCACTAAATTACATTAGTATCACAGACAGACAAGACAAAACACAAGCCAAGGGCAGCAATAGAAAAAGCACTTGTACGTGATGCATACACAGGAATACTTTTACATTAATTTATTTAAACAACAGTCTTGCTTTGGTAACACAGTTAAAACGCATCTGCTTTCTGTGATAAAGACACAATAAGAATACGTCATAAAACTACATGCTGCACAGCAAGTTCTTGCCCTAAAGCGTAACCTCTTCCCCCCCAGGAAACACCTTTGATATTACTATCTCAAGTTTGTTCAAATAGTTACAGATTTACACTGGTGGCAGCAATTAAAGCGATTACTACACCTCTGTACTACATAAAACGGTAGTGCTTGCTGCACCTAGAGAGCCTTCCATTTTTGTATAGAACACAAAGATCTCATAACATTTGCACTTCCTCAGATGGCATTTGAAATTATTCTTTTAAAAGCACGGAATAAACAGTACACTTGCATCCAAGCTAGATGGAACAGATCAAAGCTTCCACACACCCAAAGCACTATTCACCCTCTCTGAGAACCTGTTACCTTTTCTCAAATAGTTTGTTACCAACAGAACGAACACCTGCACTCAGAGATGACTGCCCAGGTCACATCTCTTACAGGTGTACTGAATGGGGGCACTAACCTGCTTTTTGACATATTTTATTGGAAGCTGGATGCCTCATGTTGACATATTCAAAACAAAAATATTAGTAAGATGCATGCTTTCAATGCCTGTTCAGAAGAACTTTTTTTGTTAAATATCAGTTTTTATTCTGTGAGCTTTAAGTACTTGCTTGAGTCACATTGTAGGTGTACTTGTATCCAGTCCCCTCTCTGGCTGTCTCTCAGATGGAGCTCAGACCTACACTGTCGGTAGCTTATCTCCTGTCTTGCCTCCAGCTCCATGTCCTGCTGCTCCTGTCTGGCCTCCCTGGATGAACCCGATTATTTATCTAATCTGGGCTGTAAAAGGGACCTGCTGCTATCCCCATCCCTGCTCTGCCCACCCTGCTCAGACACAGTAAGACTGTACCTGGTCGGTGAGGACACTGCCTGTGCTGTGGTCCTCCTTGACCTCCCTTCTGTCACGGAGTTGCTCTGCTCCTGCAGCCCCCTGACACCTATCAATGTATCTCTTTCTGCAATAACTCCTGCAGATCTAATTTTAGCTTTCCAAGAAGCAGGTGTCCAAGAGTCCCAGAAATTATTAATGGGAACTCTTACTACATAAGGCACATTGTTGATGAGAGACACTGGGAAGGTAAGGCAGACACACAAAAAGCATCATCTTAAAATTGCTACAATCCTTGTCCTCAGATCTATAGAGTAACTCAAATCTCTGAGTTTACATCTGTGCTTTTCTTTTTCCAAAGCTACAGTCATTTAGCTCTGCTAAGCTTCTAATGTGTCCCTATTCTGTGAAAATAATTTACATCTGGGCAAAATTACAAGACACTTATAGTCCTGACTGATTAGAGTAAAACACTCAGTATAACCTAGTGAATATGCAAAATAAAAAAGTAGTTATAAGAATCACAGAATAGTTTGGGTTGGAAGGGACCTTTAAAGGTCATCTAGTCCAACCCCCCTGCAGTGAGCAGGGACATCTTCAACTAGATCAGGTTGTTCAGAGCCCCATCCAACCTGACCTTGAATGTCTCCAGGGATGGGGCATCTACCACCTCTCTGGGCAACCTGTTCCTGTGTTCCATCATCCTCATTGTAAAAAAACTTCTTCCTTGTATCTAATCTAAATCTACCCTCTTTTAGTTTAAAACCATGACCCCTTGTCCTATCACTACAGGCCCTGCTAAAAAGTCTGTCCCCATCTCTCTTACAGGTCCCCTTTAAGAACAGAAAGGCTGCATTAAGGTCACCCCAGAGCCTTCTCTTCTCCAGGCTGAACAACCCCAACTCTCTCAGCCTTTCTTCACGGGAGAGGTGCTCCATCCCTCTGATCATTTTTGTGGCCCTCTTTTGGGTCTGCTCCAACAGATCCATGTCCTTCCTGTGTTCAGGACTCCAGAGCTGGCTGAAGTACTCCAGGTGGGGTCTCACCAGAGCTGAGTAGAGGGGCAGAGTCACCTCCAACACACTTCAACTTTTGAGCATAAGCTGCTCTTAAGAGTTCAAAAAAGCAGATATATCAAAATAATACTAACTGACATAGGAGCCTGTGAAACAATGCTGCAAATGTTAGTAGTTCAGTCAAACTTACTCTGCATTTCAAGTAATTCTTTCAGTGCCTGTATCCACTGATTACACAAGTGCTGATCAACACACCAAAATGTCACATCACTGCACCGCCAGCGGTGATTTCGAGCTTTCTTCACATAATACACTATTTAAATTAAAAAAAAAAGGGCATAGTAAGACAGTTCTGTGAAATGACAATGCTTTTCAGAGATATCTCCAAAATACCTACCTTTGGAAAAAAATGGTAATTAACCCCCACTACACACTTCTGCAAATGACAGAAGCATTCAGAGTGTAGCAGAATATTTGTAAAAAGTCAAAATTAAAACATAAATGAAAACACTTGCTCTAGATCATTACTTTATAGCAGATACCCAAACAAACTTACTTTTAAACCAAATAAAATTCATTTTCCATGCACTGATTATAGACACATAAAAGTTCACTGAGCTTATGTATTATTTTATCCATATTGAAGTCTGCAATGTCTACACAATATAAAATGCCATAAGCTTAAGAGGATAAGCCAAACCCTCACATCAGCTCCCATGAAACCAACAGTGTGAATTTAATTCCATAAAGCTGAATTTTGAGAAAAAATGTTTATAGAGTTTCCTTGCGCATTAAGAACTCGGCTGGTGAAACAAGAAACACATTTTCC